TTATTCCTCGTGGGATGAGGTTTACCGGGGCTGCCAACAAAGGGCTTTGGTGTCGGCAGGGGAGCGTCCAGACTAGCGCGCTCAGCGGACAAACAGCTGATCAGCTGTTTGTCGGCTCAGCGCGGCAGCCATGTAAATTTTAATGAAGCGGCGATTATTTAAATCACCGCTTCATTTCCCTTTGCCTATAACCCTAATCTACATGGCTCCGTCGATGGAGCCATGTAGTCTAGACACAGCCTGGGTGTCCGTGGAGCTCATGGAGCCAGCAGGTGACCGGCCTCCAAGGACCAGCAAGGCTGGCAGGACCCTGGGGAGCTGGCAAAGCCTGTAATGGCAGGACCCTGTGAGGCCACCTGGAGGCTGGGACATGGGACTGGATGATCTTGCAGCAGGGCCATTCCACAAATTCAGGAAAGCCAGGTGCAAAACCTGCAGGTGCTACAGCAACCCTGCATTCCCACTTCACACACCTATGGGGATAAGAGGGAGCAGAAGGAGTGTTTTTGATCCATCCCAATATGTTGAGTTTTTAATAGTTGCATACTGTCCAAGAAGTTATAGCAGTGGTGCTATTCTATCCGAGCCTGGGATTGTGGTGTAGTCCTAGCTTCTGAGCTGAGGCAGAGTTCACAGGAGATCTGAAATGCAAAATATTGTGTAATAATTATCAATATTAAAACCAAGGGGCATTTTCGTAAGAATCAAGGGTGAGATTTGGAGACCAGTTCCTATTAAACTGAATGTGCATTGAGCATCAAAATCCCCCAGATGCTCAACTGTCAGCTTTGAAATATCTCAGCCAGCATTTTTTAATTTATTGAAAATGAACCTTTTATTTTTATTCTTAGAGTGAAAGACCAAACTTGCTGCTAATAAAGGAGAGGTGGAATGTGTTTCCGATGTGGTCTGCTACTTGTTAGCTGAGAACAGGAAAGTTCATCACAAGAATAATTAGAAGGAGACTGCTCTAGGGGGAAAATTGGCCTAGAATACGTTGAAAGTTGAACCGTGCCGTAGGTCCTAGCCTCATGATTCCAACAATGTGTTTCTTCTTAAAGCACGAAATTAAAAGAAAAACAAAACGTGATTTTACTGTGTGACCCAGCATAAACAAACCAGGAGCGTGGTTCTCCCCCCCACCCCCGCCTTTTTATTTTGGTGCTCTTGTAAAGATCAATTTTAATAAGAAAAACATCAGTGAAATCAGGAAGCAGCATCCCAAAATAGAGGACACAATTCAATGCAAACTAATGTTGAATATTAATAATCTTTCTTCTTTTCACCCTGACTTCTTTTTTAACCTTTCAGGGTATGTCTACACAGCAAAGTTATTTTGGGATACCTCGGTTATCTTTTGAACGCGTCTGTTATTCCGAAATACACTGGATGTGCTATTTCACCATTCCTGTAAACCTCATTCTACGAGGAATAAGGGATGGCTTGAAATAGCACTTTATTTCGAAATTTGGTAGTATGTAGACAGCGCCAAATTTCAAAATAGCCTATTTCAAAATAGACCCGAAATAAGCTATGCACTTTGCTAAGCTATCTTATTTCGAGTTTATGGTGCTGTGTAGATGCACCCTCAGTGAATTTAGTGCAGGTGAAAGTGGGTGGATGGAGAAGGCTGGTGAAACTCTGTGTAACAAAGTACAGCGTAAGCAGTGTCAATGCAAACCATGTGATCCATCCTATCCAGGTAAAGCCACCCTTAATTGACATGACCACCTCAAGAGAGTGAGGTAATAGCATAGGCTGCCTCCAAACCCCCTTTAGTCCTCACACAGCCTCTGTGCCAGTCTTCAAAAGGATGCTGGTGGGCAGCAGTTATGGTAGCTTTGACGTGAATGCTCAAATGTGAGGATTGGGACTGATACAATCCACTTCATAGACAGTCATCAGAAATCATTGAATGAATCTAATAATCTTGGCTGTTCCCTTGAGGATGAAATGGTACTTTAGAGGGGACACTTCTCGCATAGTTCAAACTACACAAAGACTTAGGGGATCATACAAAGCCATGGAGCTGAAGGAAATATTTCCATGAAATTCAATAGGCTTTGAATCACACTCTGAAGAAGGGAGCTTTAATAGCAGTTGTCAGCCTCATCTCCAGCCACTAGGAGCTACCATGTCAAATTTCAGTCCTCCTAGGGATTCTGTGTCAGCTCAGATGGGACTGCACTACAATCCCAGATTCACCTCTTAAAGAAGCCATATAGAATCGCACCACCGCCATAACTTCATAACTTTAATA